TTAATGGGAATACTAGGTAAAATATATTTTTATATTTATTTTTATAAACAAGTTTATAAAATAAAATTTAATTTAGTGTATTGTAATATTTCAGTAACAATTTCCGGTCAACATCAATTCACAAGCAAAGAATTTGAAGAATTTGAAGTCTGTACAGATATAACAATTTTGTATCAGAGAATATTAAAGAGAATTATTTTTAGATACATACCCAGCAAACACAATATATAAATGTTATATACTTAAGCATGTTACATGTAACGTATATGTTAGTTGTAATTTCCCACTCATAGATGTAACATTTTTAATATTACATATATTACATTGTAGTTATATTGTCATTATATCCCAAGATAGCACTGACTTATCAATACATCAATGTGCTATTTGATATATAATTACAATATAACTACAATGTAATATATGTTATATTAAAATGTTACATCTATGAGTGGGAAATTACAACTAACATGGATGTTACATGTAACGTACACGTTATATTACCTGTTATATTCCGTTTTATTATAGCAATGTAACAATTATATATCGGTGTTTGCTGGGTACATACCTTTCACTTGTTTTATCAGGCTCAGAAACATTGCTGATTTTTTGTTGTTTTTTTTCTACAACAATTCCGTGAGTATTGGCGTGTTTAAATAAATTGGACGTGTTGCCACAAAACTTCACACTTTTAAAACATTGCTTGCACTTTGCCGTGGTGTCATTCACTTTTGTAAAATATGTCCATACTTTAGATTTCGGCGGCGCCATGATAACAAGAAAAACTAATAAACTTTTGACAAGAAGCACGCACTGCACGATTGCAAACCACAGCAAACAATATGACCGACGAACAGATAGATGTAGCTAACGGCAGCACTGAAGTAAATAGTAGGTCTGTTCTTTTTAGCTGAACTGACTGCACTAGTTCAGCTAAAAAATACAGGCTTAGTGACTCACTCACTACTCGGATATGCGCGCCAAATCGATTTGATACAAGTACTTTTTTATCGATACCGAGTATGTATCGAAAGAATTATTCGATTCTAAAAGTACTCGGTATCGAAACAAAAGTATCGAATACATATCTAACTTTTTATTAAAATATTGTTTTTATCTTCAAATAGCACAACCTTTCATTATTATTTTTTGTTTGGATTTGATAATATTTTGTAACTTATTTGATATATAAGTAACCTGGTAACCAATTTTGGGTATTAGGCCAATTGTAAAATCCTATAATGTATAATAGATAAACTCTAATAGTTAACCAATTAATGAAAGGTGAATATCCACAAATAGGATATTATAAATGTAAATTATTTTATATTTAATTAGAATATTGTATGTTATAATTAACGATAGGTTAACGCCCGAAATTTAATGATATAAATATATATTATATTCTATTTAGGTAAATTTTATTTGGAATTTTGAATTAATATTTCAAAAGCAGAGGCGAATGTCTAAATATAGATAGTCTAAATATATTATTATTTAATGTAGCATATTGTAAAAAGCGGATAAATACAATGTCGACGATTTATGCATGTCTAAACATTATTGTTATAATAAATGCATATGAGTGAGTTGGATGAATGAAAAAGAAGTTAAATAAAGTAAAATGAGAACCCCTAAGGAGTGTTATTGAGTTACGGCGAAATAAATCTTTGATAGAATATGCGAGCATAAATAAACCCATTAGTCAATTAGAATTTACGTAACAGAAAGTGATTTTTATATTGCCCATATCAAGAATATGTATCATTAAAAAGAGGAAAAATTTTAAATATATATTTTATATATTAATAGTATATTAGCTAACAAGTGCGGAGGATCGTAAATTGGCCGAGAGTGCGGAAGTTTGGCGCACGAGGCGAAGCCGAGTTCAGCCGAGAGATCAGCAGCTGATCATGCGGATTGTCACACTCGGCTTCGCCTCGTGCGCCAAACTTCCGCACTCTCGGTCGATTTACGATCCGCACATGTTGGCTACGATATTTTGTGTGACTGGTGCGTGGAAAGAGCCCTTTCTAAAATCCCATCAAAAAGCGACTTTCCGCGCGCCGGTTGCACAATAACTTTTTTTTCTTTCTAACTCTCTTTTTGCTGTCACTATCGTAATCAACCTTAAAAGGATTATAATATTTTATACAACAAATTAATATTATAACATTACTATTCTTATTGCTCATAACACAATATTTCTTTTTAATTATATTGTTCAATAAAAACTTTTATTACCCTGAATGATATTTTAGAAGTAGTTTCTTCTTACTTGAGATATTTTCTTATATCTGGAGAGAGACATGCTAAAGTCATTATATATTAGATCTATCTTCACAAAAATTCTATCAATAAACGTAAAATAACTTGATACTTTTGACAAATGTAATATATCGAGTGCAGTATACCTAAAAGTTACCACAATCAAATAAATCAGTATAATTTTCTTATACAATACACATTTTAAAATAATCAAAGGAATAAAAAAAATATCCAAAAAAGACAAATTTTAGAGAGTTGACTTTGGACGGTATTCATAAGTCCAAGCTTAAACATCGTCTTAAGATTTTCTCTTGATTAAGATCGTCTTGTTTGTATAAGTATGACTTGAGACTTCATGCATTCATAGTTTTAATTAAAATGAGACGATCTTCATAAAGAAATAAGCACTTCTTTTTATTTAAGATTTTTTTACTGAAGTTAGTGCTTAAGATGATCTGATTTACTTTCAGTAATCTTCGGGATTTTTCTGATGTATCAGCCAATGAAATATGTGTTTAAATATAGAATTTAACGAGTTGTATGTCTATACCATTTATTCATGTATCAAATTATTGCAGACTCTAAAGTATTGTTAGAAAGTAACTTTTTTGTAAAAAAAATGTCAAGCAAAAAACATTATATAGATCCCGAAGAGAATTCTTCTTTAAAATTTTAACAAAATATTCTCCTTAAAAAAAGTGATGCTACAACTTTGAAAGACAAAGAAGAAGCATGAAATCAAACTTGCGATGCATATATCTATTGTTACAAGTAAGATAAGAAATCTATAAATTTTTTCTAATTAGGTATGTTAAATGCTTAAAATAAAAATGTTAATTATATCTGAAGAAAATCTAATATGATATTTGCGGTAGATAGCTTCATTTTTAAGCTAGATTTTAAATACTTTTTATATTCAAAGTAATTTAATTTTTAACATTTTAATGTGTAATAAATTATTACAGAGAAGCGTTCAATTTAGAAAATTATGGAGTAATTTAAAATCAGTACAGAGAGATGTCCTTACGGAAAAACATGCACGTTTATCAACAGGTGGTGGACCTGAACCTAAATCTGCAGATTGATCCGGACATTGCCGCAATAGCACCCAATTTAATGACAATTGCACCAACATTATTTTCATCAAATTTATCAGATAAAATACTAGAAGGTAATTTCATCGTTATTTTATTGATTTATATTATAATAAAAATTGAAAAAATAGTAACAATAAATATTTTTCAGAACGACAACAAAGAATATTAATGATTGTATTCCTGAGGAATTAATTGAAAATGTGGAGGGCATAGACTTTATTGATGATGATTTCCAAGAAGTTAATAATGATTCTATTATCACACTTCATACAAATGATAAAATAACTAATTTTATTGATATTTTGTATTAACATATTTTTGTTTATGAATAAGAATTTAGAATTGATGACAATGACAAAATTGAATGTTACAGACTCAAGCAGTGATGAGACTGATGATGCTGAAAAAGAAAATAATCCAGTAAATGCAATATTAAAAAATAATAATAAAGATAAATTTTATTAATATATTTATATTTATTTTTAGACACACCTCTCTCTGTGTGCGTGCGTGCGTGTGTTGCGTAGTATCTTAAGCATATTAACAATTTGTATTGTACTGGTGGAACCGACAGACCGATTGTTAATTTTTGCTAATCCTTCTTCAATTTTTGTTAATATTCCATATAGAAGAAATCCTTATTAATCTATAGCGTCTTTTAATTGTAAATTATTATAAAAGGGTTTTAAAGTCCATCACAAATGTATCGTTTTCGTACACGTTCTCTACTTGAAAATCACGATCAATCAATATTTTCAATATCATCAATTTCTTCCATTAATTCCATAATATTTAATAATAAGCCTATCTTAAAGTCATGTACGACTGACTTGAAAACAAACTTACTTTGGGTATGTTCCAAAATTCACTGCCAGCACTGCCAATGCTACAAATTGCGTTCCAAAATTCATGGCAGCATACTGCGGCAGTACTATTAGAGAGCAATGACATCATTAATTCTGTCGTCACTTCCTGCTGCAGTTACTGCGGTCAGAGAGGTGAAGCAGATGACGTAAATTACGTCACGTAATAAAGATATCTTTCTAACTGGCAAAGATCATGGAAGAACTGACATTAATCGATGCAAAAAACAACAAAGAATACAAAATTACAGTGTGTAAGGAAGATGCTGCGAGAACAAAAAGAAGTGAATTTTAAGTTTTTTATTTCAGAAATTCAGAATAGAAAAATTACATAACCTATAATATTTGATCAAAATTTGATTCAGAATATAAGTGTTTAAACTTATTATTATTAATTATAATGTATATGCAATTATAATTTTATTTGTAATTTTTTACAGATCATATATTTGCATACTCTCTATTGCAACAAGCGAAAAAATATGCAGCTGGAGAAATAAAAGATATTATAGATTCAGAAACAGGTTTATTTTAATACTTAATTTAATAACAATGATAATGTTCCATTTGTGATATCGCATTCATAAGATTGTCTGATGTATAAAAGATATACATGTTTACAGATGACACAACTAATTGCAGCACTGCAAGTAATTTAGATATGAGTGAAACTTCAGATACGAAAGGTAGTAGTAAAATAAATATAAGTAAAAGTTAAAACAAATATTTTTTCAAGAAAACAACATTATTCTGTTTAGATCAACATATATGGACTCGTGCTAAAACACTGTTACTTATTACTTTATATAAAGAACACGAAGAAATGTTCAATAATCCTAAGATGTCTGCGAAACAGTGTTGGAATAATATTTCCAAGAAAATGAAAGATGCAGGATATCATATATCTGGAATTAAATGTACTACTAAATTCCAGTGTTTAAAAAGAACATATAAATCTGTTACTGATCATAATAAAAAATCAGGAAATAATAGGAGGAAATGGGAATATTATGAGGTATTACTAATTAGAAGTACTATTTATAATTTATATCAATTTATATATAATTTTTAACTTTAATTCATAAATCATACTGATTATTCTAGACATTCTTTTATATATAGTGATTGTGTTTAATCACATTGTGTCCAAATGTATCTTTTCTTATTAAAAAGCAATATTTTTCTTTTTCATCTTTTTTGAAATTTTTATAATTGTACAGATAATTAGATTAATTAAAGATAATTTTTCTGATATAGGTTATGCATGAGATATTTGGAACAAAACCTTGGGTTGAACCAATAGCAACAGCTGGAAGTAGCGTTAATACTTCTGCTAATATTAATGATACTACAAATAATACAGAGAACAATGACGCAATAAAATCAGGTAAACACATAATTACATTACATCTAAAATATATAAAGAAAAATAAATAAAATATTTGCACTTATATATACATTTTTGTTTTATATTTTCTATTAAAATATTTTGTAGTACATGCATTTTTTAATTTTTTCTATTTATTAATTTCTTAATTATTTTTTTATTTGCAGTGCCAAAGAAACGAAAAATTCAAAACGCAGTAGAAGATTATTTAGAAAAATCTTTAGAAATGAAAGCAGAAAAAGAGATAAATGCTAAAAAAAGACATGAAGAAAAAATGACTCGTCTAACAAGTATTGAAAATTTAATAACAGAAATACTTAAAAAGTAATAACTTTTATATAATTAATATTTTATTGGTTCTTATAAAAATATATAAGACTGTTATGTATTCTTAAAATATATAAGACTGTTATGTGCATATAAGACTGTTATGTCACTTTAATATAAAATTATGTTGAGTTTAATTTTATTTTAAATAATGTAAGAAAAATTGTGATAGTTTCTTTAATAAAGTTTATTGTACATACAAATTAAATTGTGTATGTAAATTAATTGTGTATGTGGATAGATCCCGTAAAGTATTTATGCGTGCATTTATCTATAGTATATGTATTGTAAAAGCTCTAGTATTATTTAAAAGTAATAGAAATAGGATCACGGAAAGAACGTAGGAAAGTACTTTCTTGCTTTCCTATGTTATTCCTTGTTCCTGTTATTTTTTATTGTGCAAAAGCTTTTTACTCAGCTTTCTTATGATTGTATGCATGTGTGTGTAAATATATACATAATCTTATCTATTTTTTAATTGTATATTATATGGTATAGGGATCTAAAAATATAAAGATAATATAAGAAAAAAAATGTTTTATAACTTCATACAACTTTATTCAAAATAATTTTCATTTTGCAAATAATATACAATAGCGTTACGTTTCTCAATACCTTCTTCTCGTATAATTTGAGGTATATTTTCGATTTCATATTGTACAGGTTCATTTGACTGTACAATAATTGGAATATCATCAATGTAATCATTTCGTATTAAGCAAATATTATGTAAAACACAACAAGCACAAATATATTTAGGTATCAAATCAGTTCTTCTCATAGGTAATATATCCAAAAGACTTCGAAATCTTCCTTTTAACAAGCCTATTGTTCTTTCTACCATCATTCTCGCTTCAGACACAAACAAGTATTATATTTTACTTGTGCATCTGTTAAATGTCCATTATCTTTAAACGGAACCATTATATATTTTTGGATGCCATATGCGGCATCACCTAATAAATGGCTATTCTCTGGGAAGTTTTCTGCGGTACACATGTCTTCAAAGCCAGATAATCTAAAAACTCTCATGTCATGCACTGACCCTACTTGTCCTGCATAAACATGAGTGATTTTTAATTCATTATCACATATTATCTAAAAAAAGAGGAAATAATATTATTATTTTTATATGTCTGTAGAATTTTTATTCATAAAAAAATATAATTTAACATTTTTATAAAAATACCTGTGTCTGTATAGAGTGATAGCCTTTTCTATTTATGTAAGCTTCTGGATGTAATTTCGGTGCTGCAATTTTTATATGAGTACCGTCTATCGCTCCTATCACTTTTGGAAATTTGTATTTGTTTTTAACATGTGTCCAAATATTTTCTGCTCTTGCTCTGTCTGGCCATGTAATGAATGTATGAAGATGTGAATATAATGCATTCACAACTTTGTGAACACATCTCCAAGCCGTTGCTTTTCCGACATTGAATCGATCAGCAACACATCTATAGAGTTAATAAATAAATGCTAAATATTAATATAAATTATAAATGTTATAAATTAAATGCTAATGTCATTCAATAAAACTTACCTATACGAATTGGGAGTTGCCATCATCCATATTGCCAAGAGTAATGTCTTCTCTGGTGGAATAGTATGCCTCCCACATCCTTCAGACTGTTTCAATAATTGCGGAGTTAACAGCTCCAATAAAAAAGTAAATGTTGGTCGACTAAGGCTATGGAAAAACATTAAAATATAAATATAAGAGTTTTAACAAGGCTCTGTAATATAAATATAAATTTAACGTATAAGACGGGCAACAAGAGCCAAATCGCGGATGACAATGCGTTATCCTAACGAAACTAAATAATTTTTCGTTAGAATTAAATACCGGTGCACAAGGCACCAAATTTTTACTTGGACACGGCCAAGATTTTAAAATATGAAATAATCTCATATTTTTGAGATTTAATTTCAATACCCCTTTAACCCCCCTACGGAAAATAAATAAATGAATGCAAGAGAAAAATATAAATCCGAAAATCGCTGAATCGGGAATCGAACCCGAGACCTTTCGCTTGCCGGGCGACTGCTCTTCCAGCTGAGCTATTCAGATCCTTTCGATTCTATACTTTTCTCTGTTATATATATTAATGTTGGTAAACAAACGCATTTTTTAAGCCAGCGTGTATCAAATATAAGAGTTTTAACAAGGCTCTGTAATATAAATATAAATTTAACGTATAAGACGGGCAACAAGAGCCAAATCGCGGATGACAATGCGTTATCCTAACGAAACTAAATAATTTTTCGTTAGAATTAAATACCGGTGCACAAGGCACCAAATTTTTACTTGGACACGGCCAAGATTTTAAAATATGAAATAATCTCATATTTTGAGATTTAATTTCAATACCCCTTTAACCCCCCTACGGAAAATAAATAAATGAATGCAAGAGAAAAATATAAATCCGAAAATCGCTGAATCGGGAATCGAACCCGAGACCTTTCGCTTGCCGGGCGACTGCTCTTCCAGCTGAGCTATTCAGATCCTTTCGATTCTATACTTTTCTCTGTTATATATATTAATGTTGGTAAACAAACGCATTTTTTAAGCCAGCGTGTATCAAATATAAGAGTTTTAACAAGGCTCTGTAATATAAATATAAATTTAACGTATAAGACGGGCAACAAGAGCCAAATCGCGGATGACAATGCGTTATCCTAACGAAACTAAATAATTTTTCGTTAGAATTAAATACCGGTGCACAAGGCACCAAATTTTTACTTGGACACGGCCAAGATTTTAAATATGAAATAATCTCATATTTTTGAGATTTAATTTCAATACCCCTTTAACCCCCCTACGGAAAATAAATAAATGAATGCAGAGAAAAGTATAAATCCGAAAATCGCTGAATCGGGAATCGAACCCGAGACCTTTCGCTTGCCGGGCGACTGCTCTTCCAGCTGAGCTATTCAGATCCTTTCGATTCTATACTTTTCTCTTGCGTAGGGGGGTTAAAGGGTATTGAAATTAAATCTCAAAATATGAGATTATTTCATATTTTAAAATCTTGGCCGTGTCCAAGTAAAAATTTGGTGCCTTGTGCACCGGTATTTAATTCTAACGAAAAATTATTTAGTTTCGTTAGGATAACGCATTGTCATCCGCGATTTGGCTCTTGTTGCCCGTCTTATACGGTATTACAGATTGTTAAAACTCTTATATTTGATACACGCTGGCTTAAAAAATGCGTTTGTTTACCAACATTAATATATATAACAGAGAAAAGTATAGAATCGAAAGGATCTGAATAGCTCAAGAAATCTCGGGTTCGATTCCCGATTCAGCGATTATTGCATTCATTTATTTATTTTCCGTAGGGGGTTAAAGGGGTATTGAAATTAAATCTCAAAATATGAGATTATTTCATATTTTAAAATCTTGGCCGTGTCCAAGTAAAAATTTGGTGCCTTGTGCACCGGTATTTAATTCTAACGAAAAATTATTTAGTTTCGTTAGGATAACGCATTGTCATCCGCGATTTGGCTCTTGTTGCCCGTCTTATACGTTAAATTTATATTTATATTACAGAGCCTTGTTAAAACTCTTATATTTGATACACGCTGGCTTAAAAAATGCGTTTGTTTACCAACATTAATATATATAACAGAGAAAAGTATAGAATCGAAAGGATCTGAATAGCTCAGCTGGAAGAGCAGTCGCCCGGCAAGCGAAAGGTCTCGGGTTCGATTCCCGATTCAGCGATTTTCGGATTTATATTTTTCTCTTGCATTCATTTATTTATTTTCCGTAGGGGGGTTAAAGGGGTATTGAAATTAAATCTCAAAATATGAGATTATTTCATATTTTAAAATCTTGGCCGTGTCCAAGTAAAAATTTGGTGCCGTGCACCGGTATTTAATTCTAACGAAAAATTATTTAGTTTCGTTAGGATAACGCATTGTCATCCGCGATTTGGCTCTTGTTGCCCGTCTTATACGTTAAATTTATATTTATATTACAGAGCCTTGTTAAAACTCTTATATTTGATACACGCTGGCTTAAAAAATGCGTTTGTTTACCAACATTAATATATATAACAGAGAAAAGTATAGAATCGAAAGGATCTGAATAGCTCAGCTGGAAGAGCAGTCGCCCGGCAAGCGAAAGGTCTCGGGTTCGATTCCCGATTCAGCGATTTTCGGATTTATATTTTTCTCTTGCATTCATTTATTTATTTTCCGTAGGGGGGTTAAAGGGGTATTGAAATTAAATCTCAAAAATATGAGATTATTTCATATTTTAAAATCTTGGCCGTGTCCAAGTAAAAATTTGGTGCCTTGTGCACCGGTATTTAATTCTAACGAAAAATTATTTAGTTTCGTTAGGATAACGCATTGTCATCCGCGATTTGGCTCTTGTTGCCCGTCTTATACGTTAAATTTATATTAAAATATAACATTTTCTATTTAAATTAAACGTTATATAGTTTATTATGAATTATTACTTGTTATTATTAATTAATAAAAAACATAGTAAAAATATTTTATCTATTATCTCCACTTGATTCCTCTCGACCAATAGAGCCAAACGCGATGTTATTGACAATTATGAAAGAAAGAAAATTTGGAAACTAAGGAATTTGAATCCTATGGTTGGGATCTCAAAAATTCCCCTTGTTCCTTCTCTTAACATCCCCTGCAAAGAAATAGGCGAGAAAAATATTGGTCCGAAAGTCGGAACAAAGGGAATTTTTGAGATCCCAACCATAGGATTCAAATTCCTTAGTTTCCAAATTTTCTTTCTTTCATAATTGTCGCAATAACATCGCGTTTAGCTTTATTGGTCGAGAGGAATCAAGTGGAGATTGTGGTTTTAAAATTAAAAGAGCTGACTTAAAAAGTATTCTCATTATTTTATCTATTGTTTATTGCATAAATTAATAATAACAAGCAATTAATAATAATTTATTTTTATTAAATAAATAATTTACCGAAAATGGCTTTTAAAAGCATTGCCAGTATAATGCCACACTACATTTTTAACATAATTTTGGCACCGTACTTTAGGTACACGTTTTACATTATTTTTCACTAATAAATTTAATACTTCTGCCGAATCTGAATCATCGTTTGATGATTCATCAGATTCAGCTATTAAATTTATATATGTTGCAATCAAAAATATTTTCTGATCATTTCTCTCCATTTTATAGGTTAATCTGTTGTTTACTTTTGTGTTCACTGCCAGCACTGAAAGTAATGTTCCATTTTAGACATCGTATACGCATTTACAGCACGCTCACAAAAATGAAACGCTGTTGATAGCATACTTTTATGACGTCACGCTCACGGCACTGAATTTTGGAACATACCCTTTCTAATAAACACAATCTTATTTGATTCAAATAAGGCCATCAAGATTTGATTATAAATCTGACTAGTTTTGTAGACATGTTTAAGAAGAGAAAGGCATCTTAAAAGACTTTGTGCTTAAGACAGTCTTAAATATAAGAACGGACTATGGAATACCGTCCTTTATTTCAAAAAATGAGAGTTTAAATTTCAAAAGAGTTAACTAAAATCTTTACTTTCGAAAAGTCATAGTTGTTTTCCGACATATTTGCTGACCAAAAATGTCTCCAAGTAATCTTACAATAAAATTCTGCGCTATTAAAACAGAGTGTCCAATAATAATTTAATGGCACTCAT